TCTCCTGGGGCTTATTTTTCCTCAACCTTCTTCATCAACCTTAGAACTCAACCTTTAACACTCTGTCAGAGACTGCCCAAACTTCCCAGACTTTTTCCTAGAAATGAAGCATCATAGGGACTTATTTTCCTATTTTTATCCCTCATCACAGATAAACAAGCCATCATGAATAAGAAATATAGTATAAATTCACAAATATGCACATATATGATAATTATCAGCTTGCTCCCCTTGCTCTAAATGTTTGTTACCTTAAATCATGTTGTAAAGCAAACTAGAAGCCAAACAAATTAGCTATTTTCATTTTAACCTTTATGATTTTTAGCAATTTAAAATCTATGTAGTCTTACTGAAAGTTCATACTTCCTTCTGTATCTGTTTCTCTTTTCCTGTGTAATTGATTCCATGTGATCCGAGACCACTGATGTGGTTAACACCTTCAAAAAAAAAAAAAAAGGGGGCCTTTTATTTGCACTTAACCAGCACCATAAAAATCATTCGCTTGTCATGATTTATCTACTTTTCATTGAGTTCAGCTTTGTAATTTTGTATTCTTTTAGACTTGTGCTATCCAGTAATCACTAGCCACATGTAATTATTTACATTTAAACTTATAGTAATAAAATTATGCTAATTAAAATGAACAATAATTAAAAATTCAGTTCCTCAGTCGCATCAGTTACACTTCAAGTGCTCAAGTGTCACATGAGGCTGTGACTACCGTATTAGAGATATAGATCAGCAATGCCATCGTCCAAGTTCTGTTGGACAACACTACCCTAGATGGTCTTATTTTCTTTACAGACATATAAAAGTATCCCTATAAATCGATGGCTTCTCTCATGGACTGAGCTTAAAATTCAAAGCTTAGCTAAAATGGTTCCCCTTTCTTTCATTCTTTTTGTAAATAATTGGGTTCATCATTTATTTTGTGCAGAGCATGAAATTATAATTTCACAGCCAGCTTGTGACTGATTGTGAGTTTCTCACAGGAAAGCAGATGGGATGTGTAATTACAGCACAGTATTATTTATTTAGTTGTGTGGCATTCTGTCAGAGCTATCATTTTATTCTCAGCACCATTTTTAATAAAAAATTACTATAATGCTGTAGGCTCTGTAGGAGAAACAAATGTCATGCCAAGTTTCTCCACTGTCTGCCAAACATTGACATTTCTCCTCCTTTGACAGCTCTGTAGTCTGTGTCTCTCACAGTCACAGTCTCCTTTTAAGCTTCTCAAGACGCCATATCACCTTTTCCTTAATGATGACCAGAAGATGTGGCAAAATACTGAAGTGTTTTCTAAACACTTGAAGAAAGATGAAAGATACTTACAATAGTTGTTTTTTAAATGTATTTTCATGTACTCTAGTCTTTTAAGCATTGTAGGCATTCTGCGAAGATATGACATATCCATGTTCCAACTTAGTATATTTATGCACAACCTTATAAAATCAGCTTTAAAAATATTAAATGTCAGAGGACTCTGAAGTGAGAGTTTTAAAATGGAAGGGAAATTTGTTCTGAATGGGGGGTTGATGGAGAAGGTAACCTGCTAGAATGCTAGGGAAACTGTCTTAAGTGGTAAAGCTGATCCAAGGCTGTGATTCTCAAGGGTTTGGAGGGAGTGTAAAGAGGGGGAGAGCTTATGTGGGTAGGATGGTAATGGTGGACTCTATCCCCACAAAAATGCACACCAAAATTTTTGCATGCAGTTTCAGTGGGCAAATCTATCCCTAGAGCAGCCCATGGATGGTTCCATGAATCTGATTTAGAAACTTCTCTCCTCACATCAACAAGCAATACACAGTTAAGGTACTTTAGGCCAGAATCATAAAAAAGAAGTTTCCAGAGGCACCTTACAGACATATATTGAGTTTCCATACCCCAGACTTATTCTAGGTAATGGAGATAGAGAAATAACATAGTCCTTTGCCCAAAGAAATTAATTCATTTATTGGACAAATATTGTTCTACACCCTGGGCATATACCTGAGAACAAAACAAAGTTAAGGCCTCAAGGCAGCATCCATTCTAGTGGGGGAAATATTCAGTTAATAAATAATAATGTAATTCAGGTAGTGATAAGCTCCAGAAAGAAAAAGTAGGATACAGGGTGGAGAGTGATAGTACCTGCACCACTTTAAGTAGGATCTACATTAGGGAAAGCCTTCCCAGTGGGGTCACATTTGAGAAAGACTTAAATGGAGTGAAGGAATCTGCTATGCAAATATGTGGGTGAGAGTACTCCAGCCGATCAACAATAACTAAGGCTTGACTTAGTATGTTTGAGGAATGCTAAAAAAGTTGGTGTGCTTGGAGATTGCTAAGCAAGGGATCAGGAGGTGGGTCACAAAGGTGGTGGGGTGGTAGTGACGGTGCCTTTTAGACTATGTTAAGGAGGTTGGATTTTTTCCCTCTACTGTGCAAAATAGGGGATTCATTAGGAGGTTACACGTAGAGGAGTAGCAATAACTAAGTTACATTTAAAACAAAAAAGTAAGACGATTCTAGCTACAATGTGAAAGAAGAGTGAAAACAGGAAGACCAATTTGGAGGCTATGACAGTAGGGCAGCTACTGTCTACTCATAGAGGCAAGGTTAGATCAATGTAAGATGTTTAGAACAGTGCCTGGCACTAGCTAAGAGCTTAATAAATGCTGTTGTTATTAATGACATAGTTGAGGGTAGTGTTCATTAGTACCCTTAGGATTAGGCTGTAACTGTGGAGAAGGTGAGAAGTGACCAGAATGAGGACATATGCTGATGGTAGATTTGACAGAATTTGGTGATGGATTGTAGGTGGGGTGTGAGAAAGAGAGGAGCTGAGATATTTCAAGGTTCTTGGACTAAGCAACTGAGTAAATTATGGTAAAATATACTAAAGTATACATGTAAAACAAAGAAAGAGTGCAGTGTGCTAAGTGCTATTATATAGAAATTCAGAGGAATATAGCTGTGGGAAAGAAAAGAAAGCCCCAGGGTTTTTAACACCAAAATGACTATGAATAAAAAGCAATAGAAAATGTATCCAGAAAGATGGACTCCTTACTATTAAATGAGCCATAAACTTCTATAGTTTCAAGTATTATTTTATTACTTTAATTTTTTAGAAATGAAATAAAACTATCAAAAAGTGGTAGGTGACATCACCTCACAGATGATGGCTTTAGTGAGAACCATTTGGTGAGTCAGTGAGGGTGAAAGTCAGATAGGAACTGTTTACCTGGAGGTAAGAGTGAGAAAATGAATAAAAGTAAATAGTTCATAAGATTTTTTTTGTTTGTTTTTTCTATATTTTATTGATTTTTTACAGAGAGGAAGGGAGAGAGATAGAGAGTCAGAAACATCGATGAGAGAGAACCATCGATCAGTCACCTCCTGCACATCCCCCACCGGGGATGTGCCCGCAACCAAGGTACATGCCCTTGACCGGAATCGAACCTGGGACCTTTCAGTCCACAGGCCGATGCTCTATCCACTGAGCCAAACCGGTTTCAGCAAGTTCATAAGATTTTTGACAGTGAAAGGGATGACTGGATGCAAATGAAAGAAAGCAAAAACTAGTGTTCATTCATGGTTTGAGTTTTTGAAAATTAATTTGATGAAAAGATAGAGGAACAAGGTACTGGGCCAGTGGCGCAATGGATAACGCGTCTGACTACGGATCAGAAGATAGAGGAACAAGGAGATTTGAGGTTTGATTAGGAGTGTTATTAAAATAATAGATCATAAAATCTAAGCAGCATAAGAATTGAAGAAATGAGAAACTGGATGAAGTGAAAGTAGAGGGAGAAATGGGGGGGGGTATCCCAATGAAACTGAAGGATAGCTGTAGTAGGAGTAGCCAAATAATGAAGCTGTATCTCTACCAAGAAATCCTTAAAGTCTGAATATGGTGGGTACTAAGAAAGCAAAGTGAGTAGGTAAAGAGAAATTGGTGGGATATCATAATAGCAGAAAACAAAGTTGAATGATAGACGAATGCTACTGAGTCGGAATTAAGTAGAGGACATAGAAGAGAATTTTCAAAAGTAATGAGAACATTTCTGCTTCTGGATAGGATGTAGTAGTGGTGGGTTGCAGTAGGGCACTTCCTCCACTATAGCAACTCAAGCTCTAAAGCTTCTGCACAACAAAAGAATCCATCAACAAATGAAGAGAGCCCACTGTATGGCAGGACATATTTGCCAATGATATATCCAATAAGGTGTTAATTTCTAAAATATATAAAGAATGTACACATCTCAACACCAGGAAAACAAACAATCCAATTAAAAAATGGGCAAAGGACCTGAATAGATGCTTCTCCAAAGAGGACATACAGAAGGCCAAGAGACATGAAAATATGCTCAAACTCACTAACAGAGAGATGCAAATGAAAATTACAATGAGCTATCACCTCACACCTGCCAGAATGGCTATGATCAATAAATCAACAAACAACAAGTGCTGGTGAGAATGTGTAGAAAAGAGAACCCAAGTACACTGCTGCTTGGAATGCAGACTGGTACAGCCACTGTGGAAAACAGTATGGAGTTTCCTCAAAAAATTAAAAATGCAACTGCCTTTTGACCCATCGATCCCACTTCTAGGAATATATCCTAAGATCCTGAAACACCAATCAGAAAGAATGTACACACCTCTATGTTCATAGCAGTGTTATTTACAATAGCTAAGATCTGGAAACAGCCCAAGTGCCCATCAGTAAATGAGTGGGTAAAAAAGCTGTGGTACATCTATACCATGCAATACTATGCGGCCGTAAAAAAGAAGGAAGCCTTACTGTTTGAGACAGCATGCAGGGACCTGGAGAGTATTATGCTAAGTGAAATAAGCCAGTCAGCCAGTCAGAGAAAGATAAATATCATATTACTTCACTAATATGTGGAATCTAATGAACAAAAAAACTCATGAACAAAATGGAACCAGAAGCATGAATACATGGAACAGACTGTCTGGTGCCCAAGGGGAGAGGGGTGGTGGGTGGCTGGATAAAGATGGGGAAGGAAATAGCTAAAGAACATATGTGTATACCCCATGGACACGGACAATAATTTGGTAAAGGCCAAGGACGGGGAAAGGGGGGAGGGGAGAGGAGGGCAAAGGTGGGGAGGGAGACTCCTGCAATAATGTCAGCATTAATAATTTTTTTAATTAAATAAAAAGCAGATGGATTTAAAAATATCAGAAGAGGTGTGTGTGGACAGGCAAATTAACAAGACTGATAATACCAAGTGTTGGTAAGGATATGGAACTCTTATTAATAAATGCTGGGAATGTAAACTGATAAAACCACTTTAGAAATCTGTTCAATAGTACCTGTGAAAGGTAAATATATATATCTACCTTGTGACTCATCAATTTTATTCCTCAGAATATACCCGGGGAAATGAAGGCATATATGCACAAAAATGCATGAACAAGAATATTCATTGCAGCTTTATTTATGATAGCCTCAATCTGAAATAAAAGAAGCCAAACTGGTATATCCATACAATGGAATACCAAATAGCCATAAAAATATGACTCAATTATACGAAATGTGAATGAATCTGAGGGACACTGTGCTGAGCTAAAGAAGGTAGATGTGAAAGAATGCCATTTATATGAAGTTCAAGGACAGGAAAAACTAAGTTATGACTTTGAAAGTAGGAACAATGGTTATCTTTCTGGGAGGGTTTTGGGGAAGGAGTTTGAGGAAATATTCAGGATGATAGGAATGTTTTGTAACTTGGTCAGAGAGGTATTGTATTCTGAAAGATCAAGTGAAAGAAATATCTGTCAGTACACAAAAAACAGAGTCGAGTTTGCTTTTTAACCCAATCTTACTATTTTATAAGGTTTATTTGCCATAGGGATGATTATTTAGATTATTGATTTATTTTATTTCTATCATTTTACATTACATTTTTGGTATTTCTTTGCTATGTTTTTATGCTGTATTTTTTTGTATCTTCTTTTTCTGAATTGAGCAACTTTCCTTTGTTAACCTTTCTTTTTGTGGAACTCCTACTACTCATCTGTAGCATTTAAATACATATGTCTAGCCTGGCTGGTGTGGCTCAATGGTTGAGCCTTGACCTATAAATCAGAAGGTCACAGTTTGATTCCCAGTCATGGCACATGCCTAGGTTGCTGGCTTGATTCCCATTAGGGAATGTGCAGGAGGCAGCCTATCAATGATTCTCTCTCATCATTGATGTTCCTCTCTCTCCCTGTCCTTTTCTCTCTGAAATCAATAAAACTATATTTTTTAAAAATACACATATCTAAACCTGACACATATCTAAACCTGTATTTTTTCAATGTAAAGAATGAGCAATAATAGACAACAGTCCTGTTCCCTTTACCAAAAATTTCCTTTACCTGAGTTTTGTTGAAAAAAACCTAGAATCTAGCTTTTTTTCCCTTTCTTATAATGTGTCATTATTACTTCAGGAACCCTTTTTTTAAAATTACATTATGATTCACAGCATCAGTATCATTGAGTTAAACTACTTATTTTATTGTCTCAGTTCAACACTATTATTTTTATATTCTGTCCTCCTCAATTCTGGCTGGAGTTTTTGATATACTTGTTGAGTCTGTGAATGCCTGAACATGTCTTTTTCATGTATGAATGATCACTTAGCCAGGTTTAAATTTCTAGTGTTATAATCTTTTTCCTTCTGAAAATTGTTGCTTATTCTCAATATAAAGTTGGTTGAAGGGAGGGTCTAGCTAGCTCATTTGCTGATACATCATCTTTATTATTCAGTGTTATTTCTGCTTTCTATTATATATTTTCTATTTAGTCAAGCTCCTGTTCTATCACTACAAATACAATATTCATTCCTATTTTAAACCTTCCTAGTATTGTTTTCCCCTTTTAAATATTCTTCCTCCTTATCTCATCCTACTCCATTTTATCCATTCTTCAGATTATATCTAAATTCTACCACCTCCATGGATCTTTCTCCATTTACCCCAATTCATAATAATTTCCCCTTCCTCATCACATTTATTATCTCTGCCACATGTTTTCGTACTTCCTAGAATCCTAGGATTTTATGTCTGGATGAGATCTAAGAGATATAATCCAATTCCCTCATTTTTTCAGATTAAAAAAGAGGTGGTCACTAAACCACATTTGTAACCCAGAGACCCCAAGCCTCCTGGCATTCTGGGGCTAGCCTTTAATACCTAAATAAAATAGTTCTCAAGCTTCAATCCCCAAATACTTACAGATATCCTCCCTTAAAAAACCTTGCGGGTTTGCAGGTCCTCATGATCTCCTGATCAGGGTTGCAGCCTGCGGCCAAGCCATTGCTGTAGGCTCTGCTAGAGGCCATTTTATCCTCACTGGTCATGCCACTGGACACCTGCAAGTGTTACAAGCCTGGAGTATATGGCCAACTTTTACTGAAGATTTGTCTCTCCAAAAAGAGTCTAAAAGGCTTGAGAATGAACAACATGACTTTTATAACTCTTACAGCTTCTAGTACAGGGGTGGGCAACCTTTTTGTGAGTACGTACCAAAACCAGCAAAATCTCTGACTCAAAATTCTTCTGCGTGCCAACCCTAATTTTTTGAGAACATGTTAGGCTTACTTGATATCTCTTAAGGTGTATGTATGTGAAGAACTTTGAAGAAATAATAAAATTCATCCAAGCGACGAAAACACAGTATATGATGATGAAAAATACATTTTTTAATGTATACATGTACACTGATAGTCTGACAGAAAACTTTATGACTCCATTTGATATTATCAGTGGGACCTTTGCTGCTGCATCGCTGATGACAGAGATTTTACATCAGGTTTATATTTCGTGACCTTCAGAGATATGCACGAGCTACTACTTTCATCCGTCAGGCTACTGCTATTACGAGACATAACAAAATTCATCACTGAGAACAAAGATTCACAAGTGTATGTGGATAAAAACAAGGAGAGTAACACTGTTGCAAAGTTTTTTTAAACAGAAAAAATTTTCTGGAATGGCATTCCAAGTCCTCAATAGTTCGTTTTCAACACTTCTCTCTGGTACTGTCCCTAATCGCTTTTTTTCAATGTTTTCCAAGTCAACTCTAAAGTCAATAAATTTCTGCTTCCAAATTGAGCTACTCTGAAATTCAATCAACTGCATTTCAAAGTCAGCCATGTCTATCCATGAAAACATTTGTAAGTTTAGTTCCTCCAGTTTCATGCTGTCTGGAAACCTCATGAATTTTGCTGTCTCTTCCAGTTCTCTGAATTTCGCAAATCTTGAGAAGAACTGCTCAATAGTTGACTCAATGATGTTTAAAAACAGCTTTTGAAGGCTTTGACGGTCTGTTCTGTCATCTTTTGGGAGGTCTTTGATGTGCCTCTTGAGGTTTGGGAAATATCTAAATCTCTCACCATCCACATCCCTCTTAAAGACTTCCAGTTTCTTTTCAAAAGCGTTTATGTATCCAAACATAACATCAAGTGTCTTGTCAGTTCCTTGTAATTTAACATTTAAGTCATTCAAATGTTCACAAAAATTGTAAATGGAAGATTATAAGAGAGGGTTTCACGTGCCAGCAAAAGTTACTGGCGTGCCATGTTTGGCACCCATGCCAGGGGTTGCACACCCCTGTTCTAGTATAATGTCAGACATACACAAATGAAAGCTTAATTTGGATGTTAGATAACGCTGCCCTAAAATACAACAGCCATTCCCCCTCCAAGGAGAATTCTTATCCCAGCAATGTCCTTTCAGGTCTCCGCTCACTGCTTTCTTCTCTGTCTTCTTCATTCTTCCAACCTCACACAATTGTCTCCTTATTCATACTAATCTATCTCTCCATCCTCTACCTATAACTGAACATCGGTTTTTGTGATCCTAAAATACAATAAGCTAGCCAGTAAGAACCAGCTAAAGCTTTGAAATTCATATTTTTCAAAATATATTTTTATTGATTTCAGAGAGGAAAGAAGAGGGAGAGAGAGATAGAAACATCAATGATAAGAGAATCATTGGTTGGCTGCCTCCTGCATGACCCCTACTGGGGATCGAGCCCACAACCTGGGCTTGTGCCCTTGACTGGAATCAAACCTGGAACTTTTCAGTCTGCAGGCCGACACTCTATCCACTGAGCCAAACCAACTAGGGCTTTTTTTTTTTATTTATTTATTTATTTTTTAAAAAATAAGCAGAACTCCCTCCTCCACCAGTCTCTGGAAACGAATAGAAATTGTGTAATAATTTATTTTCTCCTTGATAAAGGAAGTCCATAGGTGTCATGAGTTTGTTATTGTTCATTTCAGCTGCACATGAATTCTCATGACTCTCAAGATCACAGCAAGATATAGGTCTTCTTACAGTCTTATACTTTTTCTTTATTCTATATTACCATTTCCTCTATCCCAGACTTTTTCCAAGTTTATATTTTTTATACCTTGTTTTCTACTGGTTTTCCATTATAATAGCTGCTTTCCCAGAAAGAGTGCAGTATGGAAAGCAGGTACAGATTATTGAGACTGTCAGGGCATCTAATATATACAGGTACTCAGGATTCTTGTGTATTGATTAAGAATTATACTATCATATGCTATTTAATGAGCATCTATTATGTGCTAATGTGCTCAGTGCAGTATATAGATGATCTAATTTTCTCCTTAATTATTTTGCCCTTTACATAGAAAGGGAAACTGAAATTTTAGTGGCTTAAGAACTTTTTTGATTCCACATAGCTAAATTGAGAGACTAAGTCTTCCAGATTCCAAAATGCTTTGCTTTTTCCACCATACACCAGGTATTCCAAAGCTGTCAGTGTGGGTAGCTGTCTCTGTATTAGTGACGCTTTTTAAGTAAAAACGTTACAATGCATTTCCTGAGCAGTGACCACATCCTTTTTGTAAGATTGTGTTCTATTTAAGTCTCAAGACACCATTCATTTTTTATGTGCTCTTCAAAGCTCAAATGTGAACCTGATATTTCTTTCTCTGCATTTCAGTTTGATCCATTAACAATTGAAAGCAAAAAAGTAGCAACTGTGGTGCTAATGCTTAATTCTCCGGAAGAAGAAATTTTGGCCAAAGCATGTGAAGCCATTTATAAATTTGCTTTAAAAGGTTTGAATTTTTTTTTTTTACTTTATCTTTCTATGTCATTAGTTGCTTAAAATATTTACTACATAAGGGGCACTTTTCTCCCCAGTCTTCAACTTACTTCCTGTCAGATGAATTCTTTCAGACAACCAGATATTTATCGCATTACCTGAAAATAGTGTATCTCCCTAAGTGCCTAACTTAATCTTAAGGAGTAATGTTTTTCACTGGGTAGAAGAGTCATTTTGAAGACTTTATTGTTTAAAAAATTGTAAATGACACAGGAGCTGAAAGAGCTCCCAGTGGTCAAAGCCAAACAATTTGAGCAACAAAATAAAGTAGTATTGGATTATAACCCAAAGTAGAACATAAATATCCATGAGTATACTGCAATACATAAATGATTGAGTAAGTTTATAAATGGAAGAGGAAAGATAAATCTCCCAAGTGGAAGAATTCTGAATAACTTATGTAGATACTATGCCCTCAAGGAGGCAAAATATAACTTCTTTAGGTGTGGGCTGTGCCTAGTGACTTCTTCCCAAAGAGTACAGTAAGGAAATAGGCAACAAATAATAAGTTTATAGTTAGAAACCTGACAGAACTACTTCAGCCAGGTGATCAAAATCAACATCAACAGTGATAAGTCATGTTAATAATCTTGTCAATAAGTCAAGTGCCCTTGACAGAATGTAATGAAAATGGCACTTTACTTCTGTGTTATTTAACCCCAAAACCTATAACCTCAGTATAATTATTATTTAAAAAGAATAAAATTCCCACTCAGGGACATTCTACAAATATGTAGCCAGAAATCCTGGGTAACTCTCATAGCCAAGGGTATGTGATAAGAAATCTCATGGGGGGGAATCCTAGATAAGATCCTGGAACAGAGAAAGAATATTAGGCTAAAACTAAGGAAATCTGAACAAACTATTGCTTTTAGTTAATAATAAAACATCAATAATGGCTCAAATTGTATTAAATATACCAAAATTAGTGTAAAATATTAATAACAGAGGAAACTTGGTGTGGGATATGTGGGAACTCACTGTATTATCTTTGCAATTTTTCTGTGAAAGTAAAACTGTTGTAAAAAATAAAGTTTATTAAAACATTGTAAATATTTCAAATATAATTCTATTGAGATATTTATTCATTGAGGATTTATAAACATAAAAGATGATTATACTTTAACTCATTCCAATGGTGATGAAATTAGATTTTTATTATACTGTATAATATTTTAATTGTGACTATTTGAAGAATTTAGTGTATATCTAACAAGATCTGTTAAACTAAGGAACAATCTGATTTTAAAGAAATGATTAAACATTGGTTGAGGACTTGTATGATAGAACAAAAAAATATTCATTTAGCAAATGGTAAAATACTCGTCTCGTTATGTCACTCTTGTCATCATTGGGAATCCAGACAAAATCCAGAGTGGTTCTGGAAGGTATAGTTTATGAACAGATTATATAGAATACTGGGTCAATTTCATGGAGACATTGGATTATGCATCTATGGTAGCATAAGTCCCATTTCAGCCATCATAAGTCACCTGGCTGTCCTATGTACCTAATTATATATCATCTTTGATATGACATGAGATAAATAAATAGGTAGGCATGTATTTTATGTTTAATCAATATAGAAGTTATTGTAACTCTGGTGTTTTATACTAGCAGTATTTTCTGAAATAGTTTTTAAGATAAATGATGGGACTTTGCCTTCTGACCAAGATGGAGTAAGGGGCCAGATTTACCCTCTAACCAAAACAACCAATAAAGTAGACAAAATATATAAAGTAGCAGTTGGCAAAACATTGACTATTAGGCAACGAAGGACAGTGACCACTGAGAGACAGAAAACAAAGGAAACGAGTTCTATGACTGCCTGAACTTACTGATTTCAGAGTTTCCAGAGTACAGCACAAGAAGGGGTAGCCTGTGCAGAGCCTATTGGACTCTCTGAATTGAGAAGACAGACCTGAGAGTCCAGCGGACAAAGGCAGCAAGAGTTTTCAGGATAGAGTTAACCGAGAGAGAACTCTGGAGATCTGTAAAGCAGCCCAGTCAGGTACTGAGCTGAGTACTGATCAGCATGTACATGTGAGAGAACTACTTGAAGTCAGACAAAGAATCCCTCAGGATTAGTGGCAACAGTGCCTGGTCCTCACACAGGGCCAGAAATAGTGCTTGTCCTCACGGCCAGAACAAAAACCTCAGGATGCACGGACCATTGTGCAGAATACAGAGTCTTGGTAGTTAGAAATAATTAACCCTAGATTGAGCACTGTTCTGAAAGATCTAAAGGGTTCAAATTGTTTCCAGATAACTGTGTCCCAGAACAAATTTCTAGAATACAAAAATATCCATTACCCAAGTAGGTAAAATGCACAATGTCTGGCATCCAATAAAAAATTACCAGGCATGAAAAAGAAGCAGGAAAATATAACTCATAATGAGGATATAAATCAATATGTGAATTGAAAGTAAACCAATATATGTGTGACTAGAATCTCTAAAAGAGGGAAAGGACAGAAAAAAAAATTGAAGAAATGATAGTCAGAAATACCCCCAATTTGATGAAAACTCCAAACCCACTGATCCAAGAAGCTCACCAAAACTCAATCACTGGGGTATACACCTGAAAATAATATAATAAGGTATGTCAACTGTGATTAGAAATAAAAAACCAATCACAATGACTATGAAGAAAATGACACCAGCTTACATTATAATCAAATTGCTTGAAATCAGTGATAAAGACAAAAATCGTAAAAGCAGTTCATTGAGGGCAGACCCACACTGCTAACTATGGTTCAGTAGGTAGGTAGTTTAGACAAAAGCAAAATGATGCCACATAAAAATATGGATCTACACAAAGAATAAAAGTAGAGTACTAGAAATAGTAACATTTAAGATATTTTTCTTATTATTGAAATCACTTAAAAAGCAACTTGGTTATTTTAAATGAAAATAATAGTCATATATTGTGGTCTGAAACATATGAATAAGATATATGACAACAACAGCACCAAGGTAGAAATGGGAAAATGGAAGTATACTATGATAAGGTTCTTGGATTATCACTTGAAAGTAGACTGTCATAGGATGTATACTACAAATGCTAATACAAACAGTAAAATAACAGAACAAAAATATATCAAATAAGCTAATGAAGGAAATGAAATGGAATCATAAGAAATATTCAGTTTATACAAAGAAGGGAAAAAGAAAACAAAGAATAATGGGGCATATAAAAACAAAAGACAAGATGGCCGATTTAAACCTAACTCTATCAGAAATGAAATTAAATGTAAAATGGTCTAAGTACTTCAATGAATAGGGAGAGAGTGTTATCTTGGATAAAAAGCAGGACCAAACTACATGCCACCATCAAGTACTGCACTTAGAATATAATAACACAAATTATTTGAAAGTAAAAGGATGAAAAAAATCCTATGATAACACCAAACAAAAGGAAGATGGAGTAGCTTTATTACTATCATAAAAGTAGACAGAAAGGCCCTAGCTAGTTTGACTCAGTGGATAGAGCATCGATCTGCAGACTAAAGGGTCCCAGGTTCGATTCCGGTCAAGGGCATGTACCTTGGTTGCGGGAACATCCCAGTAGGGGGTGAGCAGGAAGCAGCTGATCAATGTTTCTCTCATTGATGTTTCTAACTCTCTATTCCTTTCCCTTCCTCTCGGTAAAAAATCAATAAAATATATATTTTTAAAAAAGTAGACAGAAAGGATAGTACAGAGGTAAAGAAAGTCATTTTATAATGATAAAGGAATCAATTAATCAAGAGGCTATGAAAAATCCTAAACAGGCATTACTTAATGTCACATCTTTAAAATACATGGAACTAGAAATTCAAGGAGAAATATATAGTCACAATTGTAGCTGGGATTTTGATGCCCACCCCCCAGTTAATGAAAAACAAACAAACGAGTAAATAGTAAATCATTAAAAGACTAAAAGATTGAACCAGCAAGATTAATTAATTTAACCTAATTGATAGTTATAGAGCACTCCAAAAATAGCAGGATATACATTCTTCTCAAGTGCATAGAGAACATTTTTCAAATAGACCATATTCTGGGCCATAAACAAGCCTTAATCGATTAAAAAGAGTTCTAATGATAAAAAATATGCCATGCCACAATAGAATTAAATTAAAAATCAATAGCACAAAGAACTCGAGACCATCATGCAATAGAAAACAAATAACATACTCCTGTGAATGTTAATTAATTTTATAACTAACTAAGCAATTATTCAATTAATTATGTCATCACATGACTGGCACTGTGCTAGGCACTGCGTGAGGATATGAGGGAATAGAACAGAAAGGGTATCTGTCCTCGTGGAAAGTTAAGTTATAGTGGAGTAGGCAAACATTGCAGAGAGGCCAGTGAGTGGTATGAAAAGAATAAAGCAGGAGAGAGAGAGAGAAGGAAGACTTGGAGGTGGTAACATCAGACAGATAGTGGAAGGAGACCTCTCAGGAGGCGCAGGGCGAGCTGAGAATGGAATGGCAAGAGGAAGCCAGCTTCGTAAACATGGGGGAAGGGAGAGCAGCAGACGCCCAGGATACCTGTGCTCTAAAGCTGAGTCGGCAGAAAGACACCTGGAGGCAGAGGAACGGGGAAGGCAGATGGCAAATAAGGAATTGGAATAACACAAAGAAGTTTTGGTGAAATTGATGGTAGCCATGCATTATTTTATTTTACCTGTAATGTCAGGTGAGGAAAATAAAACAACCCTCCTTGAACTGGGAGCAGTGGAACCTTTAACTAAACTGCTCACCCATGAAGACAAAATTGTAAGAAGAAATGCCACTATGATATTTGGAATCATGGCTTCTAATAGTAAGTAGAGACTTTTTAAAATAAGTAATCTCATAAATGCCTTGTAAATTTAATGTTAAGGGATTTATTTTAATTTTATTTAAACTAACTTTAATGTTAACCGAAAAAGTTAAGTATGATGTATCAAATGTATGATTTCATATTTTAAGGGACATTTTTAAAATATAAAAATATGTGCAAATGCTCTCCAAGTTGGTGATGTCCCAGACTTACTAGTTAGGAGAGCAATCATTGTCTTTTAAAATTGACAATTTAAATCATTGTCTTTTAAAATTTTTAAATTTAGTTTTTTTTTCTTGAGTTCGTATAATGTAATTTGTTTGCCTATATGTAAGTTACTCTTCATATGTATTTCATAGTGAAGGAAACTCAGGGTAAAGAGTTTTGATACATTTATTCTTGGAAGCCACAAACTATATTTTGCCAAAAATAAATTCAGACATGCATTTACATCAGATCTATTATTTGTTTGAATATTTTCATATACGTAATAGGATGGAGCAATAATATTAGTTAAAATATGCTGTTATGTTTATTGGAATATCAGTTTGACCCAAATCATGCAAATAAAGGCAGTCCCTGACTAATGAACAGGATAGGTTCTCATTTGTAAGTCATTTTCATGCTATAATGGTAGGTTTCTGAGTTAGCCAACAAAAGCGTTGTAATTTGTAATAAAAAATTATATTCTTGGTGGAGACTGAATTCTAACATGAACCTCAGGCTGCTAGGAATGAACATGTCTCTATCATAGTACTTGGCTAAAACTATCAGACTTTCTCACTGTATCATACTTTCCCCCAACGTCCTGCCCCCTCTCCCTCACGTTCCCTGGACCCTGTGGGAGGCAGGGGGTCTCCTTATTCTGTGGTGTCCAGCAGGACTGTGGCCTTAGTGTCTTCAGAGACAGTTCTGAGTGGAGGCTGGGGAGGGACTGGGGAAGAAAGCTTTGTCTGGCATCCGTGCCTTTACCACCTCAGCTGCAGAGACTACACCAGCAGCACCTGTGTGGGGAGAACCCGGATTCCATTGGGAGTTTTAGTGGAGGGGGTTCTGGCAGCACCTGCAGGAGTTCCAAATGGTGGCTGTGCTGGGGCTCTGAGAGTATTTCTGGGGATGACAGCAGGATGAGGACAGTCGTGAGGGAGTAGGTGTTTCACCAACTTGGATTATGATAACATTAGTCAACACTTAACGTAGAACTTACAGGCATTATTGTATGTGCTGTTTATGTTATTAAATCACTAACGAGGTTGGTGTTATTATTTTTTCCTTTACAGCTGAGGCAGCTGAGGCACAGAGAAGTTAAATAAAGTAGTAATCATTTATATTGCGGGGACTTCATACATTTATCTCAAGGGTTGCTATATTGAATGTGCTGTGTCGAATGTATTTATAGCCAAAAAAAAGGAAAACTAAAATTTTTCTTTTGTTTTTATTCTGTTTACACACCACAGAATTTGAGAACCAAAGGTGCTTTGTAACACCTCTTGTACAACTCCTCATTTTAAAAATAAGAATTATCCCTAAAGGATTAGGTTCCTGGCCCAAAGTCATGCAGGTGGCTATTAACAGAACTAAGATTAGTTCTAGAATTGGAACTTTACCCTCTGACTCATAGTTTAGCAGACGTTCTATTCACCAAATCTTTTATGACCCTTAACATTAGTGTGAATGCTAAGTCAGGTTCTCCTTCTAAATGATATTGGGGGAGAATGCATCTCATTTGGAAAGGAGAATTATAATTTCTTATTTATACTTATATTTTCTAGTTTAAAGTCTAGTTCTCTATGACTTTTTCCTGCTTACTTAGTTCTTAATTTCTATTCACTTTATTTTCTATCCTCATGTTCCAATATATGAGAAGTTTATAATCTGGGAAGCCCTCCAAATTGGTTGCAAACTTTTTCTGAGCAGATTTATAAGAGGAATTTCATGAGTTTCTAAAGGAATCTGTGACCTGAAAATATTAAGGATTATTGTTACATTCAGGCACTAAATGAATTAACCCTCTTAGACCTGCCAAGCCATATTCTGTACTAAGCTTGTTGCTGGACAGGGACCAGTGCTAGGGCCAGTGCAGTCGGCAACCGCCAAGCTTAACATTGGAGAGAACTTTACTGCCTTCAAGGTCTCCATTGAGTGCTGGAGACTCAGGTATGCTGAATGAACTTCTAAGAGCTTTCCCTGGATTCTATGAATTGGGTGAAAAAACAACACACACAAACCATTTGGGGGGTTAACAGAACTGATTTTCTGTTTGATCTATCTGTGGACATGGATAAAGCACATGGCATCCTCAAATGCGTGTGAATTTCCTTTTTTGTTAAGAGAGCAAAACCATTAACAGCGATTGTTTCATTTTTCACACATGCCCATGGAAAACTTAGAACAAAAAATAAGCGGTCATTTGATCTCAATGAAAGTCATGTTTCCAGAATAATCTATAAATACACAGTTAATTTATCATCCTTGGGAAGTCTTAAAAAAATGGCTGCTTCTTCAGAAATTTGTCTCTTCATATGTTTTTCATGCACTCAATAATATAACTATGTTTACAGTGGATGAACCAACAGAAGTTCCAACAGAATTCCAGGTGCTTAAAGGATTGTTATGAGAGCCATCTTTCCCTTTGGCAGTTGAAACAAATTCCTGTTTCTTTTTCTTTTCCTTAGAGTGGTTGAGCTATGTGCCTATACTAAGCCTGAGTCATTTGAGACAGGCACTTAAATTACTTTGTTAAACATATTTTTTTTATCAAAACGGAGCTTTTGTCTTCTTTTAATTGAAAGTTTGTATTTAGTTTGATGAGGTCTTATAACAGAGACTCATTTAATGAAGTCAGTTAAAGGGAGATTTCATCAAGATCCCTGTGAGAAGTAGCTTTTGAAGTCTAGACTTTGTACCACTTAAGGCAATCTGAAGAGCTTGCCATCTTAGGAAAAGGTTGATGTAAGAGTATACAAGGTCAAGGATAAATCAGATGGCCAATATTATGCAACCAACAAATTGTAGGGAAATCCAAGATGGCAGCAGAGTAGATGGAAGCTATACTCACCCCCTCCCAGGACCAAAATGGAATTACAACTGAATTATATGACAGTCACCCTGAATAACCAACTGAAGACTAGCCTGATAACCAAGAATTTACAGAAGAAGCCACACTGGGCCTGGTAGTGCTGCTGGTGCCCGTAGATCTCTTCCACAGGGTCATGAGAAAAGCATTTCGGTGGCCTGTGCCTGAGAATGAGATGGACTGCGGTCTTTGATTGGAGTAGAAATAAAAGACTGTCCCCAGGTTCCCGGTATCTCATCTCCATCCATCCTGCAGTGGGAGAAGGGCCAGGGTCCAGAAATTCTGTGCCTCAGTTCAGTCCATGCCAAAGCTTAGTCCCACTCAGTCCCTGTCCCGATTCTGCTAGCTTAGGCTCTGTGCCCAGCTGCATTCGGGCTGGCACTGGGCTGCTGTACCCAAGCCCACACACATGCCCAGGTCGCCGGATCGATCCCCAGAGAGGGGCATGCAGGAGGCAGGCAATCAATGATCGATGTTTCTCTCTCATCAATGTTTCTATCTCTCTATCCTTCTCCCTTCCTCTCTCTCCAAAATCAATTTAAAAAATCCTTAACAAAATATTAGCAAACCAAATCCAGCAATATATTAAAAAGATCATGTACCATGACCAAGTGGGATTTATTATATAATATTCACAAATCAATAAACATGATACTACAGAAGTGAAATGAAAAATAAAAAGTACATGATCATATCAATAGAAGCAGAAAAGCATCTGATAACAACCAGCACCCATTTATGATAAAAACTCTCAGCAGGGAATAGAGGAACACATACCTCAATGTAGCAAGGGCCATACATATATCACAAACCCACAGCCAACATCATACAATAAAACCTCAATATAACAGACTAATTTGGGCAAGAGGGAGCCCGTTAAAGCCCAAAGTCCATTATATAATAAAGTAGGTTTTTCAGGAATGCGCATGTTAAAAATGTGACAAATTAGGTTATCTGTTTTTACTTATGTACACACACACTTTTATAATTAAAATTAAGTATGTATGAAAAGCTCAATTTCACAGAAAAGTTTTCTATATGTATTACAATACTTTTAAATTAATACTGAGTAGGTCTAGTAAATGTGTGTATTTATCAGTTGCCGGGAGCCAGTCCATCCTTGCTGTTTCAAAGGACCTGGCATATATGGCATACTGTTCTTAATATGTTTGCTCACCTTCTTGGCACTATGTGTTTTAACCAAGGTCTCTGAGAAAGGTTGTTTCTTCAGGTAGGGATTTTCCCCTGAAGTTAGGGAGGGAATAAAACCCCTCAACTAAGTGCCAGGCGGGTAATTAATCACTTTAACTACGAACAATCATGCTTAAGCTACATAATCTTTACTCCCTGGAATGGAGATAAGAAATGCCCTAACCTTTGTAATAGAGATTGATAGGATTGAATCAACTGGTATAAATACAGATGTAACAAGACAGCAAGACTCAGAACTTAGAATACAGAGCTTAGAACACAGAACTGAGAAGACAGAACCTACACAGAACCTAGAGACAGAAGAACTTCGCTGGAGAGAACAAGATGCCGGGGTCCAACCCCAGCAGGTCCAGGAGTCCCCAAAGGTGTGGACGGAGTCGGCGAAGAAGGAATGACACGAAGACAGCGTTCAGTTGATCAGCAGCCTATCCAGGATCTCTAGCCAGGATCTTCAGCCAAGTTCTGGTCTGGATCTCCAGAGAGGTTCTGCTTAGGACCTCCAGCCAGGTTCTGTGTCCATGTTCTCTTGCTAGGTTCTCCAGGTTCTCCAGCCAGGTTCTGTAGCCATGTTCCCTCACTAGGTTCTCCAGCCAGGTTCTGTCCAGGTTCTCCAGCCAGGTTCAGTCACCAGGTTCTAGTCAGGTTCTCTTGCCAATTTCTGTAATCAGGTTCAGTCCAGGATCTTTTGCCATGTTCTCTCCAGCGAAGTTCT